ATAAGATGCTTTTGACTAAAATAGGATCTAATTTTTGGCACATTTTCAGCAACAGTTTGTTTTAATTAAAATTGTTAAATGATTGTCATGACGTGCACTTTTTGTCTCATCTTTATCACTGAAAAAGAAAAAAAAGAAAAACTCATCAACTTTTTTTTTTTTTGGATAAAATTAACTCTGCTCCTTGGAATCACCCTTCAGCTTATAGTTATCTTTGCATATTAACCTATAAAAACATATTAAATATTACCTTGAAACTTAAATTACTTTCTTGATGCCACTGACCTCCAAGTCCTTAATGTTCCCATTTTTCTGATGTTATTTGAAGAAGTTAATAATTTTGTTGCCGTCATAACATATATCAATCAATCTAGATTGTGATTTCACAGTACATTACCCAGAATGTTGCATTTTGGAATGTTAAAATTAAAAAAAAAAATAGCCTTGAATAGAAAAAGTTGCACTATTTACGCCAAAAAAGACCAGAAATAAACCCCAAAATGGCTCAGATTAGAGCACACGCTCCACAAAAAAACGTCAGGAAAAGCACATGTTAAATGCATTGAAGAACCACGTGACCTCCCCAGCCGGAGAGCTTTCATGGTGTTATGAATATGTCGATATCTTCCGACATGGTAGCCAATGATCATATTAGCATAATTTCCAACAGGAGGGGAAAAGTGATATAGCTCAAGCTGTTATCAAGCAGGGTGCTAATTTCAAGTCTGTCATATTCTTAAATGCACAATCGGACGTCTTATTTGAACTAAGCGAGAAATATTCTTCCCGCACTAATGAGGGTGCTTTACACACTCTGAGGCCAAATCATAATCTGCTAGTCGTGGGCTGAGTCCAGGCACTCTGTCAAGTCACATTTCACTTTATGGATATTTGTTGGAAATGAAAGGCGTAACAGAAAATGAAAAGGGAGGTTATTGGATACCTCATTTATTTCGGCATCATTCCTCCAAGGATCTTAAATGCCTCCTGGCCTTGAAAATGACTGAACGCTTTTCCCTTTTTCTACACTTTATTGAAAGTCACACCCAATTTCTGTGATGTAATATGCCTTGGAATAAAATCATTGTAAGTGGAAATTCAAAGCAATAAAACCTCTCCTGCACAGTCTATTCCTTGTTCCCAAGAGATGTACCCAGCATCCCACCTCAACACCTGTGTATTTGATTAGTGTGGCTTACTTTTTGAACCATGAAGGTGTGGCTTCTTCCTCCCATGGCATCCAGTTGAAACACTGAAAACAAGGAAGCCACATCCTTTGAGATCCCAAGTACAATCCAATCCTTGTCTTCACTCACCGAGAATGGATTTGGAGGGCCTTTCTTGTAATAAGTTGAGATTTAACGTCCATATAACATTGTGAATATGCAAAATGAGATCCAAAGGTCAAATTGAAATCTGTCCTTGATGTAAACTACATACATGTTGTGGTTTCTCTCAGTGTCCATTTGTATTTGCTCTCTTTATCTCCCTCGCATCCCCAAGGCCCCGGTAACCTCCTAATGTTAGGTTTGCCTGTTTTAATGGTGGGAGGTTGAGTATCTCTCTCGTCCCTTTTATTGTGTTCTAGGTCTAAAATGTCTTCATCATCCCTGATGGGTGTCCCGCTGGGAGGCAGGGACAGATGGTGGACAATGAGATGGGTTGGCTGTTTCTGCATGATCTCACCCTCCTCTCACACTCTCACTCAGATAGACTTTCTTGATTTTCCACAAACTCCAGATGCCGCCATCTTTAGCATCATCAGTCTTTCTGCAAACTACTAACATAAATCATTTCCTCTGCGCTGCAATATGTTGCTATATTGTGAAACCTTTAAGAGTGATATCACTAAAAGGAATATACTATGGTGCTAATCAACTGGTAAAGTTGAAGTCATTTTGACTGACAACTGACACAAATCGCTAATTTCCGGAGGTCCTGCAACAGCTGAGCAACTGCTATTGAGCTGCTGTGAGAATAGGAATGCTAGTCCTTTTTTTACACAATTTTTGATTTGTCTACTGAAGAAAATATTATTAATTTTGCATGTCATATCCATTCATGTTAGTCACTTTTATGCAATCTGATCTAATTTCAGTTGTCAGAAATGACATTTTAGTTGATGAAAATGTAAAGTAAACAAAATATTTAAACATTACGGTATTTAAACTAATGTATTTTTACAACTAATTTTAAGTCAGAGTTTTACACTAAAATCTAATTTCAGTGAACAAAAATAATATTTTAGTTGACCAAGTATTCAAACATTTGCTGTATTAATTTTAAATGTAAAAAATGCAACAATATATGTGAAAACTGTTTTTAAAACAATTAGTTGCACGTTTTAGTGCATTGTTATGGAAAGATTCACAATTTGACTTACATTTAATGTGTTTTTTAATATATTAAATTGTTTTTATTTTATAATATTTTTGTCATATTTTCGGAAAACAGTTAAATTATTGTCTAGATGTGCATTTTTCGTCTTTGTTATTGTTAATGTTTTGTTTGTTTTTTTATATACAAAATTAACTCTGTGAAATCATCCTTCGAATGGCTTACTTATAGTTATCATTGCTCATTAAGCTATTAAGCTATTTAAGCTAAAGTATTTTAATTTAAATTCCAAAACGTAGAATAGTGAGATTAAATGGAGCACGTTTAATTTCCAATTAATGACTTTTCCCATCTTTAAGCCCTTAAGTTTTGACCCCTTATCTGTTCATGACTGTTTTGCTCTCTCATACATCATTCTATTCCTCCCTCTCTCTTTCTCAAGAGAGGATCCTGGGAAGAGACAAAGAATAAGCTTCCTCTGAGAGATGGGCGATGCCATTATAAGCACAGTCAGCACATTTAATAAAACGATGTGCTTGCAACCCAGATAATGACATGAATAATCATTAAAAAAAAAGATATGTAACGGTAGGATTCACACATTTATTTATAACGGCGCATGGCTATTGACTAATATTTACCAAACAAAGTATGCGCAGATAAAGAAATAGCTGTTTATCTGAGCAGTACAGGTTGGCTAATGACAAATTGTTCTTTATGTTTCATTATATCTCAAACACACAGGCAAAATGTGACTTGCATCATCACCCCTCGCCCAAGGTGAATAGCAGAGATGGTGTAGAATAACACTGCATTATTTTATCAATGCAACCCCCATCCCAAATCAGCACACAGTATGTGGCTGGCAGGTGCCCCAGAGAGTTAAATGAGCTTTTGCTGATGGTGCAACACACATTCGGCTGCTACTGCACACATTCATGTAACACACAGCACTACAGGGGCGCCTCTTCACCACAAAATCCCTCTTATGTAATCGCACACACATTAGGCACAGGTACCAGAGGAGGTGACACGATTCAAATAAGCTTGTTTTTATTTCAGAGGGCATTTTGTGCTGCTGCTTTGCCAGAACATGCACACATTTGCAGACAGAGGTTTTGCGTGTAACCAGAGAGTGTGCGAGTCTCAGCAACTCTGGGCCAATTGTGACTGAAACATAGCCTTCGGTGTTTGGGCTAGCACAGTTTGGGGCTCAGGAACTATTTATAGTCATCCTTGTGTGTAGCTATTTACATATTCATCGCATATGCCTCTAACCAGTGAGGAGTAAATTAACCTAGTTAGGTGGAAGATAATAAAGTCCAGAGTGTGAAACTAGCCATAGGGCTTCGCACCTTTATATGCAGGGGATTCGTCACTCCTGCTAACACATGAGTGTTGAGCTTGCCATTTTATTTACTGTCAATTTTTCATGTCAGTGCACATGAATGGGGCTGTAATGTCTGTCGCAGGCCTCCAGTTGTGAAGGCTGACGTTAATTTGTGTATGACTGGAGTTTCAGTGGTTTACTAAATACTGCACTGGAATATTGCACTGGATATGCTGTTCCTGAAAGTAATACAAGTGCTTGAAGGGTAGCAAAAGAATAGTGCTAAGATCTCAGACTTTCAGGCTGCCAATTTATACTTGTTGGCTATAGATGGTTAAAAAGATGACAAGGCCGAACACAATTCAGTATGCAAATATTACAATGGCACCATTGCAGCTGTTGCATTTTGAATGCTGAATATTCAGTTATATTTGATTCACTTGGTGTACATAAGTGGCAGATTTTAAACATTTTATCTCAAAATTGTTTGAAAAAATAGGGAGCAGCTGATAATTTTTGATACATTTTCTAAGTGACCATTAACCAGTCAACAAAACCAATTTAAATTGTTTTGTTTCTGCTTTTAAAGAAATAACAATAATAATATGTATTTTTAGACTTTAGTGGAATACATAATGAATATATTAACCAATATAATAATCATAATAATAATAATGTAGGTTCTTCGGGTCAAGCGATAATTAATAAACAACGTTTTTATGTAACAGAAATGGGACATGCTTTCTTTGAAGATTTCTAAAAAGATTTATTGCTTTAGGCATTAGTTTATGTACCCTTCAATAAACAAACAGAGGAGTATTAACCCATATGATTTTCGCCCAATAGAATTAAGGAATCAAAAACAGCCCAAGGGTATTTGCTGTTTTGCACATATCACAGTTGCACAAATATTTACGTGAAAGGACAAAGTTATTTAACAAGTTAATAATAAAATAAATAAATGTATTATTATTGTTGTTGTGCCATTAAATGTTGTTTTTAATAACTCAAGTATGAATGACTGTTACATAAAATGTTAAATTAAATAATTATCGGTTGACTATGGAAACCGATATGTGAAATATGTAGAAAATTGTGAATGTCTCTGAAAAAATATCGGTGAAACGGACTATTGGTTTAGCCTATCTCTATTTACAGTTTATAAATAAATAGATAATATGACTAAACTAGATTAAACAGTGGCTTGGGCTGAATTAATTGTATAAGTTCAGAGTCACCCTAAACCAGATTTGAGGAATACCAATACTCTTCTGACATAAAAGCAATATAATCTGCATTGCACACTGACAGACACAACACATCACTGTCCTACCTTTTCGAATGAGGTCCTCGATATCTTGATCAAATCCAAGCCGATGGCATTTGTTCCACAGCCCCATGTTGGTGGAGTTATACTGCCTGCTGCACTCATCGACGGCGCTCATGGCGAACAGCTGCCGTCTGTTCCGCGCCAGCAGCAGCTTTTCCTCCCAGCGGTCCAGGCGCGAGCGGCTCGCCCGCAGAGGGAGGCTATTGTTGGGGATGTAAATAAAGCCCGGGTCCTTCCGGCGGCTGGAGAAACTTCGGCACCGCTCTCGGTACCTCCGGGCGTCCGTCTCGTACCAGTGGTCGGAGCAGATAGCCACGGCCAGCATCCCGAGCGCGCAGAGGGACAGAGACAGACCGGCGTAGAGCAGCAACTTCCCCGCAGCCATGCTCGCGTCGCGTTCGCTCAGAGCCGCGTCAGCACCACAACAGCTTGGAGAGCTCCTCGACGCGCAGCCGCATCCCGCCGGGCGCGCGGACAGAGAGAACGGGTGTCAGTCGGTGCAGCGAAATTTGTTTTGGAGAGCTCGACCGAAAATATTTAAGCCTTTATTTAACGTCCATCCGTAGTTCTTCCCATCCAATACCAGTGAATGAAACCAGACGAGACGATTCAGTCCAGTCCTCGAACCAAGCCTTTCAAAAGAAGGCAGAGGAAGATTTTTTTTAACCAATTTTTATATTAAAGCTGATACAACACTCTTCAAATGGGGTTTCAGCCGAAACAGTTCTACAAAATAGCCCAGGCGTACCATCGCGTCACCTAAGATTTCGTACGTCTATCATCCTGTAGGCTATTAAAGACAGGACGCGATTCACGGCCGATTATTAATGTTTGAACCTCCCAGAAAATGTATGTGGGGGTACAAACTATTCTAACGTAGCCAACGTTTCAGTTGTGTTTGCAAACATTTAAATAACCAAAAGTTAGATTACAAGTTAAGGCCTGCTGACACCAAGGACGATAACTATAAAGACAAGGATAAAGATATAGCTCTAAAAATCGTTCTCAATATTAAAGAATAGCAGAGTCCACACGATAAAGGCAAAGAGAAACGATATCTTTGGAATCACTTTCAGAACGATTTTTTTTCCAGCTGATGAATGATAAATAAAATATTTTTTTTATTGCATCAACTTTACAATCAAACAATGTACAAGCTCATATTCCAACATTCATCCTTGTTTGACCATGTACAAAAACAGAACAAACAATTAATTAAACCATCAAAATAAACCAAACTAAACCAGAAAGAAAAATACAAAGAAAAGAAGCTTCAAAAATAAAATACAACAAAATTGGCTTTTCAATTAAATTAGATACAAATCCAATTTAGAATAAAATTAGATAAAAGTCAACTTAAGGGCTTCTTGCTCTTAACAAATTTTAAAAACTTCCCAAAACATAATAGGAAAATAATCAATTCAAAATCGCGATAAAAAACATTGACAGCCAATCAGAATCAATCCCGCTATAACGAGCTCGAGAATTTAAAGCGCAGAGCGTGTGCTCATAACACAGAATAGACGATATCGTTCGCTGGGGTGAACTCTAACATCGTTATCTTTATAGTTATAGTTATCGTTCTTGGTGTGAACGGGACTTTCAGCTGTGGCCAAATTGACCCTAGCGAAATCGCGTTCACCTGAGGTGGTAACCATAACAGTTTTGCGCTTTCTGTTGCGATCATCGGGCGGTAGGGGAGCGCAGGGACGAAAGTAACAATGTGAAAGTTGTGTCTCCCCTACATTCACAAAAAAATGACAAATACTGCCAGGCTAGTATTTACCGTCATTTTTAAATTCACAACACAAATATATAGCGCAAACCGTAATAGTTTTCGTAGTTCGTTGCATAATTAACGATCAGGCCAAATGACAATCTACGTTGCTTAAGACAACCTTCAAAAATGGGCTACCTATAAAAAATCATTTAAGAAGCCGACCAATGATTCTAAATTGCTTTTGATTCATTTTAAAATTAACCGAGTCAATTGTTCGGGAATCGGACTAGACTGATTACCAATTCACTCAAAATAACCAGCTCATACGAGTCATTTGTACGGGAGCTGGACTACGCTGGCGGTACTGAACGTTTTTTAATTCACTAAAAAGAACCGGCTCATAAGAGTCGTTCTCGGACTACGTTGGTCGCGCTATAGATTCGGTAAACATAGCGAATGCTGTAAACTGTCGGAGTAGGCTATTTCATTCCTGTTCGCATTAGCGGAAGAATAATTAATGATCAAATAATTTAATGACGTTACTGAAGAACAGTTAACAGAACCTGCATTGATGAAAATGATTCGGTTCTGGTAGGCTATTGAATAAATGAAACCGGTTCCGAACCCTTCCCATCACATTTAGCCTACCTGGCGCTGGCAGACTATAAAGATTTTTGCTTTACGGTTTATGTTACATATCTGTTTCATAGAAATGCACCATCGCAGTCAGGTTTATGTTCTCATACTTTCTCTTTAGGGGATGCATGAACATTTATCAAATTGACTGTTAAAGAGAAAATGTATTAAGATGACTCGACATCAATTCATTCAACCAATTCAATTCAATTTAAATCGCGTTAGCCTATGATCAAAACAGTTAAAAATAATAATGTAGGCTACAGCTATGCTCTTATAGCATCCATTGTTGGAAAACCCACGGGCCCCGTTTCTGGTCTGATAAAGTAAATTAAATTCTGTACTCACCCCAATTAAAGCCGATAAAACGGGTTCACTCCACTCCAATAATGCACATCCAGCCCATTTTGTGTTTGCAGTCACTGTACGTTTGGCTATACAGGATATGCACTGCCAAATAATCCTATTTAACACACAGCGACACACATTTATAAATGGTCTACGCTGGAAATATCAAACCGTTCAACGACGCCGCATCTCAGACGCTTCACGTTTAAATGAGTGTATCGCTATTAGAACATTTGGCGGATGGTGCATCCTCCTTCTCGGACAATATGGTCCCAGCATCCTCCGTGCATGTTGCCTCTGTCTGGGAAAAACAGCGGTGATGTCATGCTGTCAATATGAGATGTTCATTGTTTATTCAAGCGGCTTCTTAAAGGAGTCGCACTACTGTTCTTGGTTCCGTGTCGAACTGTAACTGGAGTTGCCTTGCTGGCATTCTCTCTTAGATTTACACATACTGAAGGAAACCGGTGTCTTTCATGAATAAATAATCAAAGCTTTCAGAATCCTTCATTTTGTCATTCTGCATTATCAGAGCTATAAAATGATAGCTACTACACCAGACCCAAAAAACCCTTCTTACTCATAAAGGTTTGTTATTTGAAACCACTATGCACTGTCCAGAACCAACAGCAGTCAGGTATTGCTGAATAATAAATGAGAGCCGTGGCATCTGTGTGAGTGAGGCCATTGTAAGCCTTTTCTGTTTTATTGGGTTGCCCACACAGCCTTCAGATAATGTAGGGATTCTCATGTACTTCACATATTTTTGTGTAGGTGTATGTATGTGTACGAGATTGATATATTATTAAAGATTCAGTTCAGTATAATGAAACGGCAACAATCAGCAGCCCATTTCTTAAATGTAAATGTTTTTACCAGACTTTTTTCTTACTAAATAAGAAAAATGCAATAAACAATAGAGAATATAGCATTATTTGCACTGCAGGGTGACACATAATTATATATGAAACAATATTTTAGAAGTTTTGCATTTAAAAGTCAGCATCCGAGTGAAAATAAGGTCAGGTAGGCTATTTGTCTCAGAATTGAGGAAAACTGGAAATAAAGTGGATCTTTATGCCATATTTTAGGCAAATGCTACTACTGACAGACTGAAATATTGAATGTGACATAATTTGCAAAATGGGTCTGAAACCGCATAATATTGACTTGGATGCATTGGATTGACTCTTATTACACATTCTGAGATGTCTTTTCTTTATTGAATTTTATTGGACTGTAATTGTTGTCTCTAGGACAGTATGAATGACAGCTTGACAGCTACATTTTAATTAGCTACATTTTAAAATGAGGCAAAGTTTGTTTGGAACTTATTTGCAGCTAACAGTGAAAAATGAACAATGTAATCTAAAAAATGCAGCCGATATACACAAGGCAATTTGTCTTGTGCTATTTGAGGATGTGTTATCTTGTTCCTTTTTTTGTCGCCAGAATTGTGTTAATAGATACATCCTCTGGAAGGAAAAGAAAAACGTGATTGTCATGCTAATCCAGAGAGCTGTCCATCAATTTATTTATTTATTTATATCATAGGCTATGTGCTTTCCTCCCGTTTTAAATTTCTTTAATGCATATATCTCCATCTAGTGCACAAAGATATCGGAGCAAATCTAGTGTTCGTCACGCAGCCCTTATAGGGTGGTTTTAAAACGTTTAATATGAGAATAATAATTAGAAGAAGAATAATAGGGCTCGAAGAAGTCTTTTTTTTAATGAATTGTCCAATAATCATATGCTTAATGGTTGGGTTTTCGGTTTAAGAACGAAATTTAATAAAGAAACTATTTATTTATTTATATCATAGGCTATGTGCTTTCCTCCCGTTTTAAATTTCTTTAATGCATATATCGCCATCTAGTGCACAAAGATATCAGAGCAAATCTAGTGTTCGTCACGCAGCCCTTATAGGGTGGTTTTAAAACGTTTAATATGAGAATAATAATTAGAAGAAGAATAATAGGGCTCGAAGAAGTCTTTTTTTTAATGAATTGTCCAATAATCATATGCTTAATGGTTGGGTTTTCGGTTTAAGAACGAAATTTAATAAAGAAACTGTTAACATTAATGTTCAATTTAAATAAATAGGTATCAATTATTCTATAAAGTTATCCACCAAGTTATTCTAATGATTAAATAATTACAGCACACACAGACTTCGACAGAACTCTTATCTTGGCAAATATTCGCATACGGAATGATTACACAGGCGTACGACTTCCTGTGACGCACACGATCTTTTCTACAGTATAGAGGCTAAGTCATTCAAGCTAAAAAGGTATTTAAAATGTACTAAATGTAAGGCTCTATCAAATATATTTTGTCAATACTTCATTTCTGTCCACATGCTTTTATAATAAAGCATATATTTTTGGACCTCGACTGATTCTTTCGGGATTTTTTAAAGGGTAAGAATACAAATTTTAGACCTGTTATCTGCTAACTTAGGTTTATATACAAAGCAACTGCAGACTCTTTAATAAAATGCACGACTGTGTTTTAAAGATATTAAAATAGTATTATATTTTATTCATTTTTATTTCCATTAAAGCATTCATAGAAATGATAAGACATTATCATTCTATGCATTTATCTGTGTATACTCTGTTAGGTGAAGATGGCTGGTCTGTCTAGCTATGCCCTGCGCATGGCCCGTCTGAGCGCTCGGATATTTGGAGATGTGACCCGTCACACAGACTCCAAATCCATGAAAGTGGTAGAGTTGTTTAAAGAACCCCCTCTGGCCCAGAGAAAAGAAGTGTATGACTGGTATCCCCCACACAAGATCTACTATTCAATGACTCAGAAGCTCAGATTCATGGGGCTTTTCAGGTAAGCTCTGGTTATAGTGCACCTCTGAACATTTGATCTTCAACTTCTGCTGTTTGTGCAGTTAACGGTTCTTTGCTATTGTTTTAGGGATGAGCACCAGGATTTCAAGGAGGAAATGAGGCGCTTGAGAAAACTGCGGGGTAAAGGAAAACCCAAGAAGGGAGAAGGGAAGAGAGCCGCAAAGAAGAAGTAGACCAGCACATTTCATCTACTATTTATGAAAGGACATTATGAATGGAGATACTGATGAAGAAGCTCTGTACACGAGTTGTACCTGTATGGACAACAGGACATGTTTATGACTGTGGTGTGATATGTTCTATTAGCAGAGATGATGGTGAAACAAAAACACAAATGCTGAATTTACAATGTTGGGACATCCTCAGCATACCTCACCAACACCTCTTAGGTTTGTTTTCCTAAGAATACACTGCAAGAGCCCATAAACCCTTATGCCAAAGCTTGGGCTACATACAAGAAATAATTCATTTTAAATTGCTACATTTGTGCCAACAAATCAATATACCAGATATTGTAATGGACCCATAATGGAAATAAGTCAGTCAGGATCATGTTAGAAATTATGCATGTGTAGCAATAATTTTGATTGTGGGAGACATGCTATTCCGTAAACCTGCCCATATCCAATCATTTTTTCCCTAATATGATAAAAAGGCATCTTAAATCTGTTCCAATAATAGGTGTAGCGGTCATCAATTTCTTGTTCACCAGATTGGGTTCCTGTTCCATGATCTATTTTCCAGAATTGTCTAATTTATTAAATGGGATGTTTTTTTAATTTTCTGAGCATCAGTCATCTGCAAGAGTGCAAAATACTTGAATAATTGTACTGGACATTTTTGAAGTCATCGTGACTTGCATCTTTTCTCTCTTTGTACATTTTACTAATCAAATTACTCTCCTGGACCTTTTACAGCCAATAACATAATTTTTAAGTGTTAACTATATTTGCACACAATTATGGTCATAAAAACAACTGCAGCATTTAAACGTTAACAATCCCATGTCAAAGTTGAACATCTGGTGTGACGAATATGGAGCATCTCAACATTATTACTTTATTAAAAATATGCAATTTGGTGCAGTTGATATTGAAATGAATTGCAATTATGAAAGTCTATTAGCTTGATATTGTAAACCGATTTTTATGGAGTATAGCAGACTACTTACATAAAAAAAACAAATATCTGTTGTCACTCTTTATCTCCTCATAATACTTCTTAGTATTTACTTCTTTCTTCTTATTTTACTTTTTTAAATCAATGCTTTATGGGTCAATATCACCATAGAGTGCCTTTCAACCCTCACAATACTCAAAGATTTTGAGTATTCGCTTTATGTCATGTCATAAATAGTAGACACTCAAGTACTATAGAAACATATTAGCTGAGCTCCCACACATTTTTTTTTATGTTAGATAATTATGGGCCATTATTCAAAGCATAAACCATAAGATATGTCCACACCCTGTTATGGACATATATATTACTGTTAAATACGTTTTCATTGCAAAATTAAGATGCAAATTATATTTTCTGAAAGGTATGATGTCCCTTTCCTAAACGGTTATTAAAAAATATATTATAATAAATAATATAATCACATTGATATACCCCCCCCATTTTAGTTTTTAGCAATATTAATTACAAATGAATGCTATGTCCATCCTGTCATGTTTATGTCCACTCTATCGAGTCTAAGTGGCCGACAGGGTGGACATTTTGAGCTTCAATTAGCATATTAGCTTACAACAAACTGTGACTAGCTAAATATTTAGTCTGGTTGTTGAAGAGAAGTTGGTTGAATTTGATTTAGCAAAGCAAGTAAACAAACTCATAAGAAGAAAATGTGTCAATTGAAAAGTCACCAACTTACTCACCTCAGCCGTTGAAATTCCCGCCACTGAAGAGAAAAAAAATCTGTTGTCCTAATGTCACTAAAGTGGATGGCCTTTTATTAAAGGGGCAGATTCCCGACAGGGTGGACAACCATTCAAGTGACATGGACAAACTCTTCTTTTTTATTAAATAAAAATATTGTTTTTATTACCAAATGATCAATACACTCAAATTGAGTAAACTCTTATTTAACAAAATATTAATAGGATAATTTTTTTATTTATTTTATGTTTTGACAATATTCTACTATCATTCAAATTTAATGAGCAGTGCATGAGATATAGCAAAATAACACGCATCCTTTTATACAAAACTAAAAAAAAAATCTAGGAAATGTATCTAAAGAGCCAAGTAATGCTTTTGTTATCATGGCAAATGAGTTGTTTATGTACAGGACACCAAAAGGCACCCTACAGTGATATTGACCCTTTACTTACTAAAAAGTATGAACTATCAGAAGGCACGTCGAAGAATGTTTTCAGCGAAGTTTTGATATTGCTGAGAGGCCTTAGAAATTTAGATACTAAATATGATACAGTAGACTTTATAGGGTTAATTATTATTTCTTCAGAAAATTGTACCCCTCTGGCCACCTGATAGTGATGTGAGATCATGTTGGATTGACTGCTTAGTGCTTAGTCAGGTGATATACATAAATATTAATGTTTATATGCAGAGCTTTTGGCTTAAAATCAAGCTTTTGGGAGTTATTGGATAAAACAGTTACCTTTATATATGGTCAACCTGATGGGCTATTAACGTAAGAAGGGATCATTTAAGTTGCATGAACCACATAGCTGAAACAAATTTGTGACATTATAATTTACACTTTAATATTAGCGCACTGGTCGGCGTCCAGTATCCCCATTTACCCCTCTACGGGTTTACATTTGGTGAATCTGTCTCCCCCTCCTGTCTCGTTTGTAATACGGATCGTGTGGGGATGCAATGCATTGCAGGGGGCGAGATGATGCACGAACATACATATATATATATATATATATATATATATATAGTAGAGCAACTCTTATATCGTGCGCTTATGCATTTTCGCAAGGTGCATTTCCGAATGACGCCATTTATAATTCTCTCATTGCAGTTCTCTGAGCCGATGTTTATCAGAAGGCCTGTTCGTGTTTCATTGGCTTTATTTTTCCCCCCGACCCTGCTGCATAGCATGCATGCATGCTACATATCTCACCTTGCGATGCATCTTATTAATGGGAAACTACAGATGCAACGGGGAATATTAACGGCTCGCATGCATTGTTTTATCTCCTGTGTGTCACCAGCTGGCGCGAGCTGAGTCTGCGTTCGAATGCATTTACATTTAAATCTGCAGTGATGCCATAGTGCTCGTGCATTTGGTCCTGCTAACGTTCTACATTTATTTTTGATCCCGTGCAAATTTATTGCATTGTGCATCTTTCTTCTAAGCTGTCAGCTGACTGTGCACAAATCACTTCTGCTGCTATAGGGGGTCTTTGCTGTTCGATGTACACACTGGGGTATTTCGTGGGTACATTCTGCACCCTGCAGGAACGTCCAGTTTAAGTTAGTAACTTTAGCTGTATTTTGGAGCCTGGTTGACCAGGTTGGAGCATCTACAATGTTCCAGAAACCACCTATTACTAGCTGGTTAGTTGCATGCAAGCTTTAAACCAGCTACAATAATCCAAAAACAGTTTTACCAAAAGGTAGCTGTGTTTCTGGAACATTACAGCTGGTTTCTTTATTCTCAAGCTATCTAGAAACCATCTACCATTTTTCTAAACTCTCCTACGAACTTAACATGGATTTTCCTGCAGAGCATCCATTCGTTATGTTTCATTTGGAAAGTAAAGAAAGTTTACACCATCATGGAACAGGTCACAAACCTGGTCATTCAGGAAACAGCTTACCTATTTTGCTGGCAGACTAGTTGAATTAAAGAGCAGCTTGTGTAAGTTATCATTGTAGGAGTGCTTAGTGGTAATTAGATTAATTGTACTGCTGGCTCCTGTAATGGCTATACTGTCCGATTATACACAGGACTTGTCTTGCTTCTTTTTAAAAGGGCATCTATATTTAGTTTATTACCTTTTTTACTCATACTTGAAGTGAAAATGTGGTATTGTTAAAGAATGGAGCATGATTGCATCCGATTGAAGAGTCCATGAACTTAGTTAGTAGTTTTATTGATTGTCACTGCCATAACCACATTAGACTTTGAAGAGTTCACATCATATCTTCCCAATAAAGAATAGTTTGATAGGGTTTGCAATGGGAGATCCTAAACTTTTACATTGACCCGGAATCTTGAATATTTGGCATAAGTGAGTTTTCACATTGCTGCATTACTGACATGAATGTTGAAGGAACATAAACTTCTCATTGTGTAGTTCTACAGCTATGACTTGTATAAAAGATAAGATACATGGAAGAATGTAATGATCTTTTGTTTTGATACAATTACACTGGAGCTTTTATGGTTGAAAAGAGATTCAAAAGCATCATAAAAGTATCATGTTATATGATATAGCCTATTATATTCCAGTGGGTTGGTAACAAGATCGAATTGAACTTGGGAATTGCTTCAGTCCAATTCATTATCAAATCATTCAAACATTTTCAGTTTGTTCTTTATATAGTGATATTGTATGACTTCACAAGTCAAATGCAAGTCATATGAACTACTTTTTTTGGTGTTTGCATATTTTTTCAAGTGTAAAATTCCAGTTCCTTTTTTTTTTGTAATTTTTTTTGAAGGGGAAAAAAACTATATTCTTCAAAATTTCTGCTGCTGTGTTGTACATATAAAAAAAAGAAAGTCATAAGGTTTGAAATGGCACGAGGATGAGTAGGCCTAAATGATGGCAGAATTTTCATCGTTGAGCCTCTTTGTAGAGAAGTTGTAGATGGCTGCAATTATTTCACATGTATTGAGCTATTTTAAACTGTCTCGGTTATGCTGCATCATGTTGGAAACACGCAGTCTATTACCACATGAGGTTTGCTTTAAAAGAAAGGCTTGTAACAAATGTCTGTTTAAGAAACTGTCAGCAATCTTTGTCTTTCAGGAGTTTATACTGGCAAGTCTACTGAGAAAGTCCCTTGTCACAGATGCCTTTTAGCCTTTTTTCGCACTAATTTGACTAGTAGAGCCAGTTTATCTGCAACGTTGATTAGGAATCAAGTGGCAGCTTGAGTCTCGGAATGCAGGATTTTTAATCAGAACTAAAGTTAGATGCACTTAAATGTGCTATTTCAAGGGACGTAGAGGCATTCCAAGTTTCTTGACAGTCTGCTGGAAAATTGTTTCTCCAAATGGTGATCATAATAAAGTTTACTTGTAAAGCTTTGTAGTAGGGATGCTCCGATCCGCCTTTTTTGCCTCCGATACCTAGGGTTCGGTATTGGCCGATACCGATTCTGATCCGATACTAGTGAAGTTTTTTTCCCTCATTTAAATAAATGTAGAATTTATATATCTCTGTGTGTGGAACTGATAATCATTATTTCACAATCTACTAGATACAGACTACTTCATTATAAAATAAAATAAACAAATATGAAAAAATATAGGCCTATGTATATTTATAATCTATGACAAAAATGTATCATAAACTAGGTTAGTGGATAATTCGGCAGCAAAAGTTATTCTAGAAAAATCAGTGCACAATAATTTTAGAAATCCAAACATTTAGTGAAAAAACAATATTTTGTGGGGAACAAATAAAAGTGTTGCACTAAATATGGTAAAATGTTACACATTGCTATTTGTATTATTATAAAATCCATTCATTAAAAACATTAATGAATGTATATATAAGTATATACTATAAAATTAAAATACATTTATTTTAAATGCGATACCCGATATGAATATCGGATCGGCGCATCCCTACTTTGTAGCACTGTCAGATTGTGTTTTCTTGGGCTAGAACATTTTCCAGTGAACTTGGGAGTATTTTATGATGCTGCATGTATTGCTTGGCAAACTTGAAAAATGTTTATTGGCTATTTGGAACAAGTGCATTGCTTGCACGTTTCCTTGAGCAAATGCTTGGCTGTAATTTTGTAGTACTTTAAATTAAGAGAGAAAAGTTTCTAATATTGGATGTGGTAGTACTTTTTCCCAAATTGCAGTTGCCCACAGTCATGACCTCAGGCACACCAATGGTTTTTAAAATGTGCTGCAATTAAAATCTTCAACAACTACAATTTTCAGATCAATCATCTCCTGATAAATAGCCTCAAATGTTTAAACATATTCATATTATGGTTGTGAATGTCAGATTTTTGTACATTAAAGTTGCATAAAATGCATAATTCTTCTAAGAAGGGTCGATTGCCAAAAAAAAAAGGTTTCCTGAAGATCTCCTGTTTCCATTGGTCAGACACAAGGATAGTCCCGCCCCCAACACACACACCATTGGTTGAGACAATACTGCCATGTCAGGTTTTGAAAGTGCCAGAGTGTTGGCGGTTTTCAGGAAAATAAGTCTATGAACGGCTTAAAATTGTCTCAGCAATTTAAGTTTGAGACTGGACAAAGTATTTAACAAAAAAAATACACTTCAGTTTAAGTTGAAGCATTTTGCAGCGGTTTCTTTGCTAATGCTCACTGTCTGTTTACTTCACACCTCAGATTTAATCACTATATCACAGTTTCTGTGGGCAGGGCTAGAGACAGCCGTCAGTGTCAGATTTTACAGCTTAGTGAAGACAAGCAAATGATTCTGTTTATTAGATTTAGCCTGAAAATTAGGTCCTTACTCATGTATAGTGAAATTCAAAGATCTCTGATCAATCTAGGAATCAGCTAGGAAAGGAAGCTGGGAAAATTGGTTTGCTAACTCTAATTTTATTTGCAGATATGGAACATCAAACAGATGATTAAGTTAACCCAAGAGCACCTAGAAGCCCTTTTAGATAAGTTTGGAGGAGAACACAATCCGCCATCTATATACCTGGAGGTGAGTTGGCCCGACAAACGAGTTGCTGTCATGAGTGTGATGTGAAAGTAATATAAAGATGTTTTACTATACCAAAAACGTTCATTTTCAAAGATACATGATGTTATAAATGAAGAATATCATGAATAAAGTAACTGGAATTTTTTACGCCATCTGTAGTTACGATTAACTTTTGGGCTTTGTTTCAAAATCTAGAAAGCCGCCTATGTAGGTAGCATTTTAAGGCATCATAGACACATTCAAAAAAACACAGCAAGTTAAGTTTAAGTCTAAAAGCTGAAAATGCCTTTTTAGTCAAATTCTATGGGGGCATCCTAAGTATCCATCCTATAATACATTGCAACAAGCATAGTGCAGAAATCCACATATAAGCAGGTGGGAGAAATTAATTGAAATATAATTAATTTAATATTTATCGAAGTATTTAGATTTAGTCAAATCTAGTTAGTTTTTTTTTTCTAAATATGAATGTGTGAATATGCTTTTATACTAATTGTTGTTAGCTTAGCAACATGATAATGGAAAACTATATATATATATGTGTATATATATATATATATATATATATATATATATATATGTGTATGTATGTAACTCATAGTTTTTGTCTACATAGAACATTGATCACTTACAACTAGGCAGCCGCCTATCTAGGGATTCTGGCACATAATTGCCCTAATGTTTGAAATGACTGAATAAATTCAAAGGAACTGATAAGGCCTTTAGTTTCTGTGTATGCAATATCGGCTAATGCATAACCTCAGATCTGTATCCTTCAACAGTTTCAAAACATGAGCATTTATGTGAAACGTTCATAAAGTATTCATGATTTATTTCCTCCATGCCACAGGCCTATGAAGAGTACACTAGTAAGCTAGATGCATTACAGCAGCGGGAACAGCAGCTTTTGGAGGCCATTGGGAACGGAACAGAGTTCTGCTCCTCGCCCACACCCACCCAGCTGGATGTGAAGGGACCGGGTGTCCAGAGCGCCCCCTCCACCCCAAACACCTTGGCTGTCCTGCAGACCCCCACAGACATGACACGGGGAAATCCCCGCTCGCCCCAAAAACCCATCGTAAGGGTTTTCCTGCCCAACAAACAGAGGACAGTGGTGAGTTGTTGTTGTTGGTTATTGCTTGTTGTTTGGTACTGTTTCACTTTTATATGTAGATAATTTAGTGTGAATGATGAACATAATTCAAATAATTTGCATGATGTAAGTAATTATTTACATTACAATCGATAATGTGTTACAGTCCTAGTAAAAACCTAAAAAAATTATTATTCTGCGGAATGTTCAGGCTTCTCTCTGCTATACAATACTAAAAAGTAGGAAGGATAACAGTCCATATAACTATATAACAAGATCTCTGAAGTTTTACAGTAGCTTTATGTGATTTACAGATTAAAAATTTAGTTGTTTTTCATTAAATGATGTCTAATGAAGTGTTGTTTTTGTTAACTAAAACTAAAGCAAGCAAACTAAAGAAATCTTTAAAAAAAACTAAACTAATAAAAATGTCAAAAACAGATTAAAATAAATATTAAAAAAGCGAATTCAAAATATTTCTAAATACTATGTAAATAATACTAATATAATATAAAAATAAATGAAAACTATTAAAAATTAAAGAAATAACTAAAAATAATAAATGACAAAAGCATATGGCACAACTCAAATTAAAAGGAAAACTAGAAATATAAAAATAAAAGCTAAATCAAAATATTAGTAAATACTATAATAGTATGTAAATAATACTAATATAATCTAAACATAAACAAAAGCTATAGCAATCTTAAAAACAAAACTGAATAAAAAATGAGAAAAGCATGACAGAACTAAAATGAAAATGAAAACTGAAAATATAAAAATAAAAGCTAATTTAAAAATATTACTAAATACAATAATAGTGTGTAAATAATACTAATATAATATAAAAATAAATGAACACTATATAAATCTATAGCTAAAACCTAATATAAATATAAAAATAAATGAATTCAAACTACTATAATAGCATGTAAATAATACTAGTAAAATATATGCAAAAATAAATTGTACTAAAAACATAAAGTTAGAAATCTTAAACTAATAAAATGACAAGCATGTGACAAAATTAAATTGAAAACTGAAAAACTAAAATAAAAGAGAATTCAAAATATTATTATAACTAAACACTATAATGTAAATTCTGCACACTACTAATATGATACTGGCCTGATGACAGAGCATTAGGTAAGGGCTCTGATGGGGAAAAAAAGGAGGTGTATTATGTCAGTAATATTTTGCCCATGAGTGGATTAAAGAATTTTTGTTATGAACGGAGATGGTAGGATATTTCGACCATACTTCACAGTACGGTTATAGGCAGGGTTTAGAAAGGAAGGGCTTCTGGAAGGAATTTCCACTCCAACCAGACTGTAGAGCGGTGGGACTCCATGGGAAATGAGCCAATGTAGGTGGCCCCCTTTATTTTGATTATGTGCTCAGCTTGTCTCTGTTGGTTTAGCAAAGAGATGCGGCAGAATGAGTTGGAGCCAAGAAATCAAAACACACCCAGACGCAACCACAGTCTCACTGTAAGAGATGAAAGTGACTTGAGTAAGTGGTTTACATGTGTGTTTCAGGTTCCAGCTCGTTGTGGGATGACGGTGAGAGACTCCTTAAAGAAGGCTCTCATGATGCGAGGCCTGATCCCAGAATGCTGTGCGGTTTACAGGGTTCAGGATGGGTAAGAACTGTATTCTGAATGCGCACATTACCATCATTACTGCAAAAACAAGCCAAGGCTATGTCACACTGCGAGCAGTACTTCATATTTAATGACTGTCCCGCCCACATTAGGGAGAAGAAGCCTATTGGCTGGGACACAGACATTTCCTGGTTGACAGGGGAGGAGCTTCATGTCGAGGTTTTAGAGAATGTGCCACTGACGACCCATAATTTTGTGAGTATGATGAAGCTGACCACAAACTGTGGCTTAAAATCAATCTGAAATGACAAAAAGGAGGAAGTTAGAGCCGACAGTTGACGTCATTGGTGTGGTCATTTCTATTCTTGATTTTACTCTTCTTAAATTCACCTTGACACATTAAAGACATGTTGAGCTCTTTCTCATCCAACCTGACCGTAATATATATTGTTTTTTGGAAGCATTCAGATTCTTTGTAATAACTGTAAGTGTTATTTGGTGACTCGACAGGTGCGAAAGACCTTCTTCACGCTGGCCTTCTGTGACTTTTGCCGGAAGCTGCTGTTTCAGGGCTTCCGCTGCCAGACGTGTGGCTACAAGTTCCACCAGCGCTGCAGCACAGAGGTCCCGCTCATGTGTGTCAACTATGATCAGCTGGAGTGAGTGTTCATGGGTGATGTTTCACTTCTGCATTATGCATAAAAGGGTGAAATTTGCTCCATGCAGGATGCACAGTTAAATAAAGCATGTGAATAATGTGTCAAATAAAATAATAAAATAATGTTTATTTCTTACATATGAGTATTCACCATATTTGAAATAGTTTACATATCTTGTGTATAGTTTGTCCAATTGGAAATAGTCCAATGTGCTTTGGGTAAGTGATGCTTATGCATAATTTATTTGTACTGATGTTATCATTTTTTGTTTATAATTTTGTTATTTAGTTTATTGCTGGCATCAAAATTTCTGGTGTACCACCCTATTACCCAGGAGGAGGCGTCATCAGAGGGCACGACACCCCTGTCAGAGATGTGTCCATCCCTCCCTCCATCCGAGTCCACTGGGTAAGATTTTAGTCCACATCTGCACTCCAGTGACCATGTAGTATATCTTAATAATAAATATAGAAGTAGAGTATATCTTAATAATAAATACGATGAATACATATAATTATATATTTATATATTATATTTATATGAATGTACATCAAGTTATAAATTATAATCTATATTTATATATTTGATTTAATAATCATATATATTTTTAGATTCAATTTTTATTGCACTACTGTTCGAAAGTTTGGGGTTGGTAAGTTTATCAAAGAAGTCTCTTATGCTCGCCAAGGCTGCATTTATTTGATCAAAAAATACATTAAAATCAGTAATATTGTGAAATGTTATTACAATTCAAAATAATTGTTTTAAATAAATGTAATTTGTTCCTGTGATGACAAAGATTTTCAGCGGTTATTTCTCCAGTCTTCAGTGCCACATGATCCTTCAGAAATCATTCTAATATTCTGATTTGGTGCTCAAGAAACATTTCTGATTATTATCAATGTTAAAAAGAGTTTTTCTTAATATTTTTGTGGACTGTGGAATATTTATTCAGAATCCTCAATAAATAAAGTTAAAAGTTAAAAGGGAAAGTATTTATTTGAAGTAGTTGTCTTTTGTAGCATTATAAATGTCTTTACTCTCAATTTTGATCCATTTTAATGCATCCTTGCTGAATAAAAGTGTTAATTTCTTTCAGAAAAAACAAACAAACTTTTGAATGGTAGTGTGTATGTATAATGTATCTGCTATGTACCTTTTAATTGAGAAACTGTCACATTAAGGGTCACATTAATTATATACTGTAGTGTGTAGGTGGCTTTTAATCGTGTATTGTGCAGAATTACATTGTACTCTCCTGTCTCTGTTTTCTCCAGGTCTCTGTGCCATCCTACTGTGTCCCCGTCCAAATCCATCCCTATCCCACAGTCCTTCAGACCTGGAGAAGAGGACCACCGCAACCAGTTTGGCCAGAGGGATCGCTCTTCCTCAGCCCCTAACGTCCATATCAACACCATCGAGCCGGTCAACATTGATGTGAGAACTGGACAGTTGGGACAGCTAACCAATATATTTTAGTCAAAAGGATTTAATCCATTTTAATGTTATAGGCCCAACTTAAAAATGTCTTTACTTTGCACTTCCTGAATCTGAAAAATTAGCATCCAGTAATATTATTGATCATATTTGAAGTGTTCTTTTATTTTAGATACATTATATTATTTATTTAAATTAATATTATTTATTATTAAATGTGTTAACATTACGTGCCCTCAACCATATAATCTTGTTTATTTTAAGTCTATTAATATAGAAGTTTCTTATACCCCCCCAAAAAACGTAAGGTACATTTGAAGTAAGCAAAAAGCACAAAATGTTACAATTGCCCTGGTCTCCCCAATTCCCTGCTAATCGGTGTTATTTCTGTACAGGATTTGATCCGTGATCAAGGCTTACCGAGGTCAGATGGAGGTAAGTGCTGTACGAAACAGAAAACATACACTAAGACACACCGAATTCAAATGGCTTTCCATCATCCCATGTCTTTGTGCTATCTCTGTGTCATTGGCCTTAGAAGTTTGGGATAGCTGATCCATTTCACTCTGCCTGCTAGTAAAAGCTGACAAACAGGCCTTTCTCTCCCCTGCCCGCTTGTGAATTGCTTCAGCCCTTTTCTTTATCACTACTGGCCTGCTGTAAACTACTAATTCCTAATCTGTGTTCTCAAAACCCGCCCCTGTCCTTCCTGCTTCTTCAAAACATGTCCCAGAACTAAGTTTAAAGAGACAGTTCACCCAAAAATGAAATTTCAGTCATCATTTACTCAGCCTGGTGTCGTTCCAAACCTGTATGACTCTTTTTTTTTTTTTTTTCTCTGTGGAAGGTAAAAGAAGATGTTTAGAAGAATTTTCGAGCTGCTCTTTTCCATAAAACAAAGGGCGAGTAATTGATAACAGAATTCTCATTTTAGGGTGAACTGTCCCTTTAAGGACAGACTGTATACAGAAATAATGAAAAACTGGCTCTGTGTCACCTATAATTCACTTGATCTTCTCTAAACAACCTCTGAGAGTAGACACAGGATTTTGGTAGTGGGTGACAGGAAGTGCACCTGAGCTTCGTGGGCCAGTGATCCCGTGTCTGTCTCTCTCCCCCTGCAGCCCCCTCGCAACACCCAGCCCGCTGCTTGAGGAAGAACCGAACACGGACCTCAAGCCCCCTTCTGTCCTCCCACCCCAATGACATTGTCTTTGATTTTGAGCCTGAGCCAGTGTTCAGAGGTAGCTAGGCTTTTGTGCATGGCTGTGTCCCACTCCTTGTCTCGTCTTTTGCATGTCTGTCTGTCTGTGTTTCTCTTCCACCTTGTGTGTTTCCAATTTCACTCCTCCTCCTTTAAATTCTCACTTTCTCTGCCACTTCTCTCACACAAACTCTTTCACTGATGTTTGATGGGCTGCAGTCACTTTTCCTCAACTCAATACACTTGACTCAGCTAGTAAAGCAAAGAATGGCACGTGTCACTCAGACATTTCAGAAGTACAGGCCCCCTTTTAAATAATAATAAATCGGTTAATATTAAAAATATAATGTATATTTTATTTAGGTCACATGTGCCATTGTCTAACACTCGGTTATTCTTTAGAAACACAAATAATAACAGTCAAATGTAATCTTAAAATGCAGTTCTCACAAAATAATTTAAAAAAAAAAACAATCTTAAAAAGCAAATCTCAAAATGAATATCCAGTACAGTACAGTAATAATATATAGTATTTTTTTATACTGTACACTATGTTGTGATGCCTAAATTGACTTGATTGAATTTTATTTTTTATTTTATTTAGCATTTTGTTTTTTATTATTTGTTTAGACAAAATAGTTTTGAATTTTAGTATTAGTTACTGACCATAACGTAAAAACAATTATTGGCTTATTGCATCGGACAGTGTTATTTTAAATAGTATTTATTAATATTTTGAATTAGGTTTTATTTTCATATTTTCTGTTTTTGTTTTCATTCAAGTTTTAGTAATTTGATATGCTTATATAAAATGTATATTTTATTTATATTTCTAATTAGCTTTAAAAAAAATTCAGTTTTAGTAATTTTAGTCTTTAAATTTAAACGTATTTTATATCAACTACTTGCCATGGCAACATAACTAATATTCTTTTTTTATTTAAGTTTAAGATTTTCATCTTACAGTTTTTTATTTAACAGTATTTTTTTTTAACAAATGAAAAAAAATATTTTAGTTTTAGTTACCAATAAGAACACTGATACCTGCCAGAATTGTTTGTTTTAATCCCTACTTGCAGTACTTTTGCGTACAGATCTATGTGACTTTTTTTTTTTTTTGACATTTTTGGGGATACTTTTTGGTTTTCCATTGGGAAAGAGATATGGGGTGTGGCTCAGGATTTGATAGTATACTTCAGTCGAGGCATATATCGCTCACAGCCCCTTATTTCACACTGCATGGGCTGTGACGTGATCCTTTCCTCTCTTTCTCCCCCCAAGTGACTCTCTAAGATTTTATTCCTTTCCTTCTGTCTCCTTCCCCTCTTACTCTGTCTCTCTCTTCTTTGGCTCTCATATTTCCTGTTAAAGTAACTTTACTTTGTTTCTCAACCTCTCGTAATGCCAGGCTCCACAACAGGCCTGTCGGCCACACCTCCTGCCTCCCTGCCTGGCTCCCTGCCCAATGTGAAGGTGTCCAAATCACCCTGCCCACCGAGAGAGCGGAAGCCATCGTCTTCGTCTGAGGACCGCAATAAAATGGTGAAGATTTCTTTACCTTACTTGACACATCTAGTCCAGTTCAAAGGTCATTCGAGATGGTTTTTGCCATTTATTTTGTCTAATATTTAGAAAACCCTGGGTCGACGGGACTCCAGCGATGACTGGGAGATCCCAGAAGGTCAGATCACCCTGGGACAGCGGATAGGATCTGGCTCTTTTGGAACAGTCTACAAGGGGAAGTGGCACGGTAGGTCCTCTGAGAACAGTTTTGGTCTAAAGATGATAAAGGAATGTACAGAAAAGGCTAAATGTGTGTCGTCTTCTTCCTCAGGTGATGTGGCGGTAAAGATGTTGAATGTCACAGCTCCCACTCCACAGCAGCTACAGGCCTTTAAGAATGAAGTGGGTGTCCTCAGGTAAGAGCTTAAAATTACTCGCCATTTTAAAACAGGGATAGTGTCTGTCCAAATTGTAGGTTTCAGGTAGTGGTTAACCAATATAGTTTTTTTTTTTTCCCCAAAAATTTTTTTTTAAATGTAATTTTTATTAGAAGAAAATAATATAAAGGGTTTTAAACTATCTAAACTATTGGTAACAGGGTTGCAAAAAATTAAATTAAATTAAACAATTATATTAAGTGTAAAATTAGTATAAAATAAATGTAACTTCATTGTTTATTTTTTTAAACATTTGTATTTATTGTTTTTTTCCCCTATTTTTATAAGAAGAAAATCATCAAAATCATCATTTAAACTATCCCAATTATTGGTAACAGGGTTGCAAAAAATGTAACTAAATTAAATGAAACATTTTAATGAAATGTAATGATAATTATATAATAATTTGACCTCATTGTTTTGTTATAAATTTGTATTTATTTTTTATTTAATTTTTATTAGAAGAAAATAACCGACATACGAACCTGGACTGTGTATTTGTTGGACATTATCTCGATGGAACTCTCAACTTCTCGTATACATGGATCTAATGTGAAAACTGTACATTTATGGCATTCAGCTTTTAATGTTGTGTCAGCTTTTCTAAAATATTTGTAAAAAATTATTTTATTGCTATTTATTTATCTATTATTAATTCATTTATTTTTATTATTACTATTTATTTATTTTTAATTTTTATATACATATTTTTTTATTCATTTATTTATTTTTTAAGTCTACCAGGGTTGGGATGGGTTCTAAATTTGCACAGTTGCTTTTTGTTTTATATTGCTATTCCCAGAAGAAAATTCAATAAACAGTTGTTAACAAAAAAGAAGAGAATAACCAAAAGGGGTTTAAACTATACCAATTGTTGGTAACAGGGTTGCAAAAAATATTATTAAATTTAATTCATTATATTAAATATAAACAATTAAATGACCACAATTAAATATAAAATAAAATAATAAAACAAAATCTTATAATATTTATTTGACTGAAATTCTCTAAAATTGACTTAACATAAGGGTTAAGCACTTCCTTTCACTGACTATTGACTTTTCTATCATTAATACCGTCTTTTGGGAATTGAGCGATGGCAATTAAAAAAGGCAGTATTGTAACAAAATTGTTCATTTCGTAAAAACATCATTCATCATAAAATACATGGCTCAAGTAGCAGCCTTAATCTTTAAACTTAAAAAAAGTATTCAATTAACTCATTATTTGTAAACCTTGTCATTAAATGTTAGTCTCACATTTTTGAGATTATGTGCTACCAAAACGTTGTTCTGTCAAAGCATATTGAAAATTCTTTATCTCCCGCAGGAAAACCCGCCATGTGAACATCCTGCTCTTCATGGGCTACACCACCAAACCCCAGCTGGCTATTGTTACACAGTGGTGTGAAGGCTCGAGTCTCTACCACCACCTGCACATCATCGAGACCAAGTTTGAGATGATCAAGCTGATTGACATTGCCCGTCAGACGGCTCAGGGCATGGAGTGAGTGACACTCCAAAGTTTTTAGGTCAATGTAATGTTTAAAAATAAAGAATCCATTAAGTCTTGAATAGAAAGCATGAAACCTGCTGGCATCAGATACTCAAATGCTCAGGTTATGACGCATGAATTTAACACTTGTAAATAATTTTATCCACAGCTATCTGCACGCCAAGTCCATCATCCATAGAGATCTGAAGAGTAACAGTATCCTTTGTAAAATCTTTATTGTTATAGAAATATAAAAATCCATAAATCTATCTTTTCAGGTCACTACTGGTATGTATATGTGTGCATCTACTAGGGGTTGCACCGACTAATCGACTTCAGTGCTTTGCCATGATGCTTTAAGCTTGACGTCGACTAGTCGCTGGTCCTATAGAGGGCGCAACAGGATAAGAAATCTACTGATAAAACAGCTGTTATAGGAGCAATAGCCATGTGGGCAGCGCTGTGTCATATGCCATAGCTGTGCACAAGGTGTTTGTCACAGCTCCAGACTTATTTGTTCATTAATGACGTCATCAGCGACTAGTCAACTTCGACTCGACTTTCATCACATAAGAGTCGACTTCAAAAAAATCAGAAGTCGTTCAACCCCTAGCGTCTACATGCTCTTAGCCTTAACACCACCTCCCTAGATATATTTCTGCATGAGGACCTAACAGTAAAGATTGGTGATTTCGGTCTGGCTACAGTGAAATCCCGCTGGAGTGGCTCGCATCAGTTTGAGCAGCTTTCTGGCTCTATCTTGTGGATGGTGAGTGAAGGAACATGTCTTAACTATGTCAGAAGTGTTTCTTCTGTACTGACAATCTTGGCTGATCTGCTTCAGGCTCCAGAGGTGATCAGACTGCAGGATAAAAACCCATACAGTTTCCAGTCGGATGTCTACGCGTTTGGCATTGTGCTCTATGAGCTCATGTCAGGGGCTCTGCCTTACTCTAACATCAACAACAGAGACCAGGTGAACCTCTTAGCAGTGTATTTTGGGTGAACTATCCCTTCAAAGCAGTTCATATGATGTTTTCTCATCAATTCAATTTTGAATGTTAAAGTACTAGTAAGAGGATGTACATGACTTAAATCTAATTTCTGCCAGTATCAGAAAATTGCAGAAATTAATGTTCATATCTCTCCTCATCCAGATTATCTTCATGGTTGGCCGCGGTTACCTGTCTCCTGACCTGAGCAAAGTGCGCAGTAATTGCCCCAAGGCCATGAAGAGACTTATGGCAGATTGTCTGAAGAAAAAGCGAGAGGAGAGACCTCTTTTCCCTCAGGTAATGTTGTGAACAGCTGTCAAACTTCTGCTTTCTCCAATTTGGCTGCCATCTGTCAAGGGCATGCAGATTTATGTCAAGGTGTGTTGCCACAAGATGGCATCAGAGTGGCTTTAACAGAATGCAGCTTTGAATTTGAATTAGTTTGATTTCAAATACTAGTAAAATATATATGTATTATTGGTGTAACAGTACACAAAATTGGTATGTTTTCAGTACAGCGGGGGAAACATTTAATTTCTTCTTTTATTTCTTTTTCTTATTAAGTAGTGATTTACAGAACAAACTATGGCTTTGTCTTGAAATAAATTCACAAAATTAATATTTTAATTATTTCACGCTTACTCTATTGCGCTCTGTCCACTGGATAAATAAAAAGGTAATGTTATATGTAATTAAAAGAATTATATAATATACAAGGGTGGCCATAAGTGGCGTGCAGATGCGCGTGCATGACCAAAATAAATATATAAGTTCAGACCGCTCATTTGCGCACATGGTCGACATGGTTGACAGCTGTTAATGCACAATCACTCTTATTATATCGACTAACTGTAATACTTCACAAGATTTTCATTAAAACTGAAAGCATATATCTAGGCTACGCATTGCCAGTTTCACAACAAAACGCAAAACAGTAACATTTCATTCATTCACTGACGTGCTTAACTCAGCAGTGCTAAAACAGCCAGTGTGTTTACCTACCTGCCGGCAACCCGCCAAAATAAAAGCTTGCTGATTTTAGATTTGAAAATGTTGAAAATTCATATGAAAAATTTTAATGTAAATGTGTAAGCAGTGTATTTTTTTAAGTGTACAGTACTATAAAATGATTGTATTTTTATTTAATCTTTTTTATTTTTAAAATATAATAGCATTATCACACTTTATATAATATTTTTTAAATTATTTTTAAAATTAAGTAAATAAAGTGTAATAATACTATTATTACTATTAATCACTTTTATTTTTCATAGTTATATTTAATGGGTCACACTATGTGCAGTGTGAGCACCAAACACATGTGCTCTCATGATTTTTATTTTAATATGCATTATTTATTTATGGCAGACCCTGGCCTCTATTGAGTTATTGGCACGCTCTTTGCCCAAGATCCACCGCAGCGCTTCTGAACCATCCCTTAACCGCGCTGGATTCCAGACAGAGGACTTCAGCATGTACATCTGCGCTTCCCCAAAGACGCCCATCCAGGCTGGAGGCTATGGCAAGTTCACGTACACAAACAATGTTGTACCTTTTTTACTTGTATCGCTTAAATTAGTATGAAACTGACACGAATCTGTCGTTTGTGTCTCCTTTTAGGTGAATTCTCAGCGTTTAAATAGTGCTGCAAATCCTAAAACTCCATCCCTTGTCAGTTTTTACGACGTCTTGTGTTCCTACGGTGGGTTCATCCATAACACAGAAAAGGACTAGTTTTCAAAGAATGTGCTGTTTTTCTTCCTCTTTACCCGAAGAGCTACGGCCTCAACGGAATTGCTTTAAAATAAAAATGATCTCTGCAGGGTGTCATTGCTGATTTTACAAAAATGTCATAAACATCACAAAGGACAACTCGATAATGCAACGTACAACAAAAACGACTGATGTGAGAAACCAACAGCTGCTCACTGGAAAGAAAAAGGCAAACAAACCCAAACCGATTTTGGCAGGGGATGAAAAACTTTCCCCAAGAAGGAAGATAAATGGGTTTGGGATGAATGATATTGGGAGCACAAGCCCCGCCTTTTCTCCGCCCCTGGAGGGGAACAACACACAGCACTGGCCAATCAGAAAACAGGGCCCAGTGACATGGAATGATGGGAAAATTGGCATAAGGGAGAGGACGT